ATTTTATACTTTTTAATATCATAAATAATCAGTCGCTTCTTACAAACACTTAGAAGTTTAAGTTACATTTATTAGCAGCAATCACAAAAAACAATTTATCCAAGTAATGTAGCTAATCAGTCAAACTATATAATGTTTACGGTTGCCAAGCGACGTTGAAATGTATCATTTTAATATCGCATTAACGTAGAATTGTTTATGCACGCTGCTGCATATATCTCGTCTTTATTAACCGTCTTCAAGTATGACTCATTTGAAAGTAGTCCTTCTATAATGTATTAAAGATTTCACAATGACCCTAAACAAAGCCCTACACGTTCACGAAGGGGAAAATTGTGCTTGGAGCAGATGTAGTTAGCCAGTCGCCATTTAGCAGAATCTTTATATTTAAAGTGACTCGCAGTGCACTAATTGCATGGACAGTCCCAGCAGGCTGACCTTAGGTTAAGCGCCCTGCTCAGGGGCACAACGGTGATACAGCAAGATTATGATCTCCGTAACTCTTTGGTTTCTACATCAGGCTGATCGGTGTTAACGTGTAGAGCTTTAACCAATAGACTAACTGCAACCCAGAACAATAAACAAGACAATTAACAATTTACCACATGCAGAATGCCTCATATTTATTCATTAAAGACCGGATTATCACAGCGGCAGCCCAATAAATGTTGCACGCTGCGTTTGGCAACAGGGTAAACTGTGCATCGAGCCTTTGTTTGAAACCAAACAGGGCTTATAATTTTTTACAGAGGTGACATATCCAAATAAAAGAACCAAAGCATGGAGAGTGACATTTTCTTTTCCCCCGCTTTTTTTTTTTTTTTAAGATCTCATGACAAATGGTAACCTGACACTACAGAATTACCGAAGTGTGTCTGAGAACTAATGAGAAAAATTTCCTAAGGGAATCTTTATCTATTGCTCCTTGGAGTGCACCTTGGGGACCTGCTCACCCGTTTCTCTGTCTGTCACTCCACACACACACACATATACTCAGACACACGCACACAACTTGCACTTGACACCCTGCTTCCTTTACACTGTCGGGGAGTGAAGCCATTTCACTTTGCACCTTGCAATTAAAATCCGAGCGAGAGAGCGAGAAAGAGATAGATACACTTTCTGTTGTACGATGCGCACATACTTGCCACGTTCCCCACCCCTGAAATATGTGGCATACACATGTACGCAGAATGTGTCAAGATTGTGGAGTTGAGAGCAATGACAGGTATGGAATTAATTAACAAAAGAAATCACACAGTTCCCTTTTAGCTGCAGCATTTTTCTATCAGCTTTTTACATTACGCCTGCGTGGTTGCACGAAGAGATGCTGTATTACTGTGCTATTTACAGACGTCTGTTACAGTTTTAGCTCTCGGCTTTGTTAAAGCAGGTGTTGGGGAAATTGTCTAGTGTTTGTCTTTTAAGGGCACCCTTATGAAAGAGAATTACAGCCGAGCCGTAACACAGTTATATGATCTTACAGTCATACTGTGGTACTTTTAGAGTTGTTGATGGGAAATGTGGTATGTGAAAATCAGCTAGTCCAAAAATAATTTGTAATGATTGATTCATTTGCAGTTCTTTTCAACACAAAAGGATTTGTTTTGTCTTTATCTAAAACCACTGTAAACAATCACACATGATTTAATGTTTTCTTGCTTATAACAGTGATATTAATGCATTATTAACAGTAGTTAAAATGTCACTCAGTGACTTTTTTTTTTAATAGTAGAATTCGGGGTAAATTCATGTTAGGGAATAATACAAAATACTGGAAATTCAAACTATTTTATATACTGTAGCTGTATAATATATATTTTTAAACTGAAGCAAAGTTTGTCCAAGATCTGTTGAAGTTTTGAAATAGATGAATGGGTAGATAAATGGATGGATCAAGAGACATGCAGTCAAATGGAGATAGACAGATGACAGATAGATAGACGGCTAGACAGAAGTTTAATGAATGGATAAAAATGGATGGATAGCTAAACGGATGGATGTATGGATGGATGGATGGATGGATGGACAGGTAGTTAAATAGACAGGTAGAGAGTTGAATAGACAGATTCTTTTAAAGAATGGATAAAAAAGGATGGCTAAACAGAAAAACAGAATTGTGTTTGGATGGATGGATGGATGGATGGATGGAAGGATGGATGGATGGATGGACAGTCAGTTAAATGAACAGATAAATAGATAGACAGACAGACAGACAGACAGCTTAATGGATGGATAGAAAAGGAAAGATGGCAGTAAAGAAACACAGATGTGTGCTTAGAAATACAGAAAGGGTTAGATGGACAGTTAAAGGGATGGATGGATGGATGGATGGATGGATGGATGGATGGATGAATGGATGGATGGATGGATGGATGGATGGATGATGGATGCATGGACAGATTGATGACAGATACATGGATAGACATACAAGCTGTTATATGGACAGGTAGATACTTGGATGGGCGGACGTATGTTTAGACATAGATGATGGATGGATGGATGGATGGATGTACAGTCAGTTAAATAGACAGATAGATAGTTGAATAGATAGCTTAATGGATTGATAGAAAAAAATGGATGGATGGCAGAACAGAAAGACAGATGTGTATTTAGAAATACAGAAAGGGTTGGTTGGATGGATGGATGGATGGATGGATAGATAGATAGACAGACAGACAGACAGACAGACAGACAGACAGACAGACAGACAGACAGACAGACAGACAGACAGAGAGACAGACACCTGTCTTTTTTCAGGTGAGCTGTGATTATGTACAGTGTTGTGAATGTCTAATCTGTGGTGTTACTATACTGACCTCTACAGGAAGTGTATTTGTCAGGCTGTATGTGCGTGTGTGTGTGTGTGTGTGTGTGTGTGTGTTGGTTTATGTGATTTACGAAGACATTTCATATGAATACACGCCACATTATGAGGACATTTTCAATTATGAGGACATGGTCGGAGTCCTCATAATTTTAGCAATGTAGAAGTGCTTCTTTAATGTAGAAGAGCTCAAATCCAAAATTTCTCCACATGACTTTATAGTTCACATAAACCTGATTTTGTGTATTACGTGTGTATTCGACATGCGCCCCTGTAGCCCGGACTGGGTACTGCATCCCCTCATTAATTATGCATGCGAGTGTATGAAATCGCGGCATGTGATTGGCTGACCATCAAACGTCCTCATAATAACTGTATCTGTCAAACATCTGTGTAAACAATAATGATTAAAAAATAGTTTTAAATATGTATAAATATAAATTACGTTCTAATTAAATAATAAAAATCCCCCACTACCTTTATAAGATCAATAAAGAAATAAATGCCTGTTATTGGCCAATCGCCACCACCTGACTCAATCAATTCCGCGCTGGACAGATGGATATCACTCATCGTTTGAAGACAACACAAAGAAGCACGGAGCTTGTTTATTCGACGATTGATTGCATACGATTGATTAAATGTGAATTAATTTATGGAAACTGCCACTGAACTCAAGCGATTTTATGCTGGAAGATCCGATGACACATGGGTGTCAATCATCAGTTTCAAGACCTTTAAGGTAAGACTGTTAAATAAACACCCAGATAATTAAGTGTACTAACGTTACACGATTAATGTGCATTATTTGACTAAACTTAACAGCGAGTAAACCAAGTAACCTTGTTAACCTTGTAAGTTAGCGTACTTTTCATTTCCTGTCAAGAATGATGAACTATCGTTTTTAAAATGATGATTTATTGTTTTAGTATTACGTTTATGTTTGCAATGTCGTCATGGCTTACCAAAGTAACAGATGCGTTGCATGTAATCGTTTATAGTGTGCTTATTAATTTTGTAAGATGAGTATTTGCTAATCAAGTCATAACGTTATTGTCAGATTGATATCACTAATGTATGTAATGATAAGTTACACGTTATGGTCTAACTTGTTATTAGACGTTTTTACTGCACCCAAGATACAAGACGAATATGTTTTCATAACTGTATGTTAACTGTATTTTTCATAGCACGTGCTGATGAAGTAGTTTAATCGTTTTATTTTGTCCTCATTTTCATTTTATTTATGAATAATGTTGCTTACACTTACAAAATGGTCACAAGACATTCACATATGGTAAATCTAAATGTGAAACGTGGTTCCAAAACACTTTTGGTGGTTTTGGCATGATTTAACATGGGATTCACACAAAAGTGTTCCAGAAGCACACATTTCACATTTGTATTTTGCACATGTGAATATTTCTGTAAAGGTAACGTGTATACAGATGTTTCATCCTATTAAATATGTAGTCTGTGTGTATTTGCCATATCTAGACATTTTACTGACAAAGAAAAAGCAAACAAATAATTTTAAGTAACTTACATTACATTTTTTTTCCTGTTTCACTGGCATGTCATACTGACATGCATATTACAGACTAAGCACAAACTTTAACATGTGTACCCTTTGAAAAAATAAATAAACTAAATATGATAAAAAAAAAAAAATACAAAAATGCATTGATGTACAGTGACATTGGTGCATTGCTTGCGACAAATGGTGACAGCAAGGTCGCAGAGACTCAAACTGAAACCAAAGGATGAAGCAGTGTACTATGCTTTGACTTCAAAAGATAAAACTGGGTTTGAAATAAAATACATAAGCTTATTCAAAGGTAAGAAAAAAAAGTCTGTTTACGTCAGGGATCTCCAATAATTGTTCTTTTTCATGACTAATCTGAAAAATCATTTGTTAGGTCGGGGAGTATTCAGCTCTAGCCACTATAGAAAAGAAGATTTTCTAGTTGAATATAGAGGAGACATAATAACCAAAGAAGAATGTGAAAGAAGACACAGACTTTATCATAATGCACTTGAAGTGTTTTTGTTTCAACTGCTTTTTAATGGAAGACTGTTATGGTATGTATATTGCTTTATTAAATTTGCTAACATTTATGTTTCTGTATTTTCCTTAAATATATATATATATATATATAAAAAAGGAACTTGTCTTTTCTAAAACTTGATAATTTTTTTTGATCTGCAATTACTTACTGTGTAATTTAGTAACTACTGTAATTACATGAGGTGGCATTGTTTTCTATGATTCAGGGTTGATGCTGCAAGAGAAGATGGCTCGTTGGGTAGACTTATTAATGACAATCATATAAACACAAACAGCAAAATGAAAATAATCAATGTTGATAGAAAACCCTATTTGTGCTTATTCGCAACAAAGGACATCAGTCCAGGGCAAGAGATCACTTATAACTATGATGTTTCAGAATGGCCATGGAGGAACAAGGTATGCAGAGATTAAAGTTGTTTTCTTAAAAATTATTTGGTTATATAAAATTAAGCCAAAATAAACTTAAATCTTTGAAAAATACCGTATTCTGCAAGCATTTACATTTGTTTAATATTGTGTTGTTCATCTAAACAGGTGACCTCTGACACTGAAATCCAGACCAGTACTTCACTTAGCTGTGCAGGACAGAAAACTGGAACACAGAAGGTAAATGTCTGAGAACACTGACTGTATATTTTCCCTTAGTTTAGCTCTATATATGCTAAAACTGTCACAAAGTTTACTGTTTATACAGTTTGTCAGTTCTGTAAGGATTTACTTGTGTTAATAGTGTTGTTCATCTAAACGGGTGACTTCTGACACTGAAATCCAGACCAGTACTTCACTCAGCTGTGCAGGAGACAATACTGGAACACAGAAGGTAAATGTCTGAGAACGCTGACTGTATATTTTCTCTTAGTTTAGCTCTATATATGCTAAAACTGTCAAGTTTACTGTTTATACAGTTTGTCAGTTCTGTAAGGATTTACATATATTAATACTGTGTTGTTCATCTAAACAGGTGACCTCTGACACTGAAATCCAGACCAGTACTTCACTCAGCTGTGCAGGAGAAAATGGTGGAACACAGAAGGTAAATGTCTTAGAACACTGACTGTATGTTTTCTCTTAGTTTAGCTCTCTATATATGCTGAAACTCTCATAAAGTTTACTGTTTATACAGTTTATCAATTGTGTAAATATTTACATGTGTTAATATAAGGGTTGGGTATCATTTTTTTTTTTTTTTGATACCTACTGTAAATCGATACTTTTAAAACGAAACCGGTGCCAAAACAGTGCCTGAACCGATACTTTTTAGCCACAAAATTATGGTGGATGACTCTAGAAAAATCTTTTATTTGACAATTAAAAAATAATAATTTTAATAGAACAATATAATTAAAGTTTCAAGTAAACATCAATTCATATTTTTGTATTTGAATTGCATTAATACATTTCCTTTGATCATTTGTTGGTTAGCATGAATTTAGGATTTGCAATTTGAAATTACATTAGCTTACTATTAACCTGTGGGGGAGCGGGCAGGGGCCACGTACTTTTGGAGGCACATTTTAACATGTATATCACAAAATACTTAAAAAATGATTCAAAGTCATTTTTTTTCTTGCATTACTTTGCAGTCTTCATAAACAAGATAATTAAATAACTTAAACTCAAAATAACCTTCCTTGTTCATTTATTTGACGAGTAACGTTATACTGGTGTAGGAGAACACATTTCTAACATTCAAGTACATCAAGGCACATTGTTGCATCTGTAAACTTTAACAGGCCTGCAGTTGAAGTCAATTTATTTTGCCTTCCCATTCATTTAAAATAATTTTTCTGAAAATGTTCAAAGTGTTTCCTAAAAAAAAAGAATTATTCCAGAGTTATTATAAGTTCTATATCTTATTGTTTATTTCATAAATAAAAGCTGTTTTTAATTTAAATAAAAATAAGGTCAGTATTTTTAGCCTCTTCAAGAAATATTTGCTGGATATTTTTGATTTACACAAAATCAGTTACAAAATAATTTGAATAATTTTAACTTTCGTAGTAAACTGATTAAGTCATTAAATTACACTTTAATCTGAATAAAAGACTATAAATACTTAAAGGGACTTTGTCTGAATACAACTGTCTTGCAAAATAAATAGTAAAATGTTCTGCACTGACTGTCTAGCATGGGGAAGATAAAACAGCAGATTTTAGAAATAAGTTATAAGTTAAACTATTGTGTTTAAAAAAGTGTTGTAAATAAATCATGTGTTGAAGACGGAAATCAAAAATGAATGAAGGCAAAACTAAACAAGTTGAATATGACTTGCATGAGCGTGACTGAAAACTACATCTGATCAATGTCTTACATCTGTTCTTTGGTACTTACCGACTGTTTGTAAATTCAAGACTGCATTTTCTAACGTTAAACTCTGTACACTAGATTTCTAATTAATAATGGTCTCTGCATAGCCGAGGACTTCCTATTATAAAAGTGTTAAAATCGCTATTGAAAACAGAAGTCTAATATCATCAACAGTGGACATTTTGATAGTGTTTCACAACCTGAACATGACTGCAGTTCAATCTTTTTATTACCTGTGTCAATTTGGGCGTCAACTTCTGACGAATGCAGGGAACTGATCCGCGCAGCACCTTTACAGAGAGCAAGTGCCGCGAAAGTAGAGTTCCTCTGCCTTTGAGCCCTCAAATGTGTCATTAAGTTTGACATGTTTCCCCCTTACACGACACAACTTTTGTAAAGCACATTGCTGTGTAAGAATCCTTGCTTGTAAAATATGCTTTAAAATGCTTAGTTTAAGCAATTTTGATGAAAGTGGTCATGCGTGTTGATCTGGAGTGTCGCTCTCGCTGACCGAAAACCAGGCTGAATGTGCTTTACTGCGCGCATTGCGTGCGTTCGTTCCCTAAGCGACAGTAACAATCACTTACATTGCCTGTCCGTATTCCTCAAAGTTGTTTAGGATTAAATGTTTACGTCCTTCATACGTCCTTGTCGCAGCACCAGTGGCACCGAAATTAGGCCCCAAAATTCATATGCTGATTTGATCCGGTACACTTTGGTTACTTAGGTACCGGTGCTATAATGGCACCAGGTTTTGGTACCCAACCCAAGTTAATATTGTGTTGTTCATCTAAACAGGTGACCTCTGACACTGAAATCCAGACCAGTACTTCACTCAGCTGTGCAGGAGAGAATGGTGGAACACAGAAGGTAAATGTCTGAGAACACTGACTGTATATTTTCTCTTAGTTTAGCTCTCTATATTTGCTGAAACTGACAAAGTTTACTTTTTATACAGTTTGTCAATTGTGTAAGGATTTACATATATTAATATTGTGTTGTTCATCTAAACAGGTGACCTCTGACACTGAAATCCAGACCAGTACTTCATTCAGCTGTGCAGGAGACAATACTGGAACACAGAAAATAAATGTCTGAGAACGCTGACTGTATATTTTCTCTTAGTTTAGCTCTCTATATATGCTGAAACTCTCATAAAGTTTACTTTTTATACAGTTTGTCAGTTCTGTAAGGATTTACTTGTGTTAATAGTGTTGTTCATCTAAACAGGTGACCTCTGACACTGAAATCCAGACCAGTACTTCACTCAGCTGTGCAGGAGACAATACTGGAACACAGAAGGTAAATGTATTTGATACCTACAAGTGTTTGATACCTAGCAGAATTGCTCTCCGGGTTATTTGTGTAATTGGATATTATGTCATTTTTAAAATGGGAATAGTTAGGAGATGCAGGTTTCTCTTACTAAAGTCAGATTGGACCAATAGGTTGTGTGTTGCATGCTGTTCAGGAGTCGGGGGTGGGGTGGGGCTGGGGGAAAGGGTGACTGACGCATGCTGCTGCGCCCCACAGCAACAGAGAAGGCTTGGCAGAGCAAAAAAATACTGCATTACTATTTTTGTTAAATAATTTTTTTTAATCATACTAAAATAACACTTGACAGAAGTTCACTCAAAAGCGCAAGTTCTTTCTGTCATTAATTATTAACACTCCTGTCATTCCTACTACTTTCAGAACATAAATTTTGATATTTTACCATATGAAAATGCAATGCAGTTATGAAAATTGTGAAATTAAAGCAATAGTGCAGAGATCTGGTCCCCGCGTCAGGTCAGGGTGCACCTGTAACCTTTAAAACGAAGATCAGGAGGCGCACTAAACTCACACGGGAAAGAACTGGGCATTCAATTCATGTTTTAGTTAAATAATTCTTAAATACAGCTCTCTTGATCTCTAAAAGGGAAAAAATGCAAAAGAAATTTGTCGTTAAAATAATTTTAGCAGGGACGCAACTGCCTGTCATTTTCACATTCGTTTTTCAGTTAGGGATTAGGTCTATTAGAGTAACCTAATAAAAATGTTTTGTTGGACACCGTAGTCTACACAATAATCAATATTATAATTTATTGTATACATTATTATTAAAACTAAACTATACAATTGATAAAACAAAACCCTTTTTAATGTTTGCTTTCATTTTGACACCGCTAACAGTTGTAATAAGAAACATCACATTATGCAGAAGTTAAAAATACCTTTTGAGTTTAAAGATGATCAGCCTGCCAAGTCAAGTTTACAGTGTCATAAATGAAATAGGTAGCATGAGTAAAGGGGATTTGCAACCTCTCGTATGCGCTGCAGGTAGACTGAATGATAACCTTTAAAAATATATATGCAATACAAAACTTTAAACATTTATGTTTTTTTAAATAAAAAGAAAAGAAATCAGGAGAGTGAAATATCATTTAAACCACTGATCTGGCGCTGATACTTTATTGTTTGTAGCTAGAAGAAGAAAAAAAAAGCACATGAAAACCTGGCTGGGGAGACGGCGATAACATGGATTATCTGTTCTTTAGAAAAGATCACGACATTGTGAGGCGTTTATCATACAACGCAATTCGTGTTTATAATCATTAATATTAACTAATATTAAAATTCTCTCTAGACTTTGTTTTAGGGCTTGTTCTTGTATGCTAAATATACCCTAGGCTTATTGCACGTACAAATCTGATTGTGAAGAATGATTTCGCATTTTTTATTGCATCTTTTTCGCTGATTATTTATCTTTTTATTTTTTTAAAGTGGTGAGAACATTATTTACTGGCAAACTTGTTCCTCGATCTCGTACATAAACAAATAAAGTAGCCTACCTAAGTTAATTTACCTTTAATGTAAAAATTAAGGAATAACTTAACTTAATATTAATAAATAAAACATCAGTATAAACGTACGCGTTTAACTTTCGTTAATAAAACAACACAAAACTGTTTATAAATATTGTAGTTAAATATTAAAAAACTTTAACTGCTTGAAACCTTATAATACTAACAATTAAATGTTACTTTACTTAGCAAACAGCCTAAATGGCACTTTACTCATCAGTGTAATAATAATATAAATATTAATAAATGTAAGTAAAAAGAAAATATTAACCTAGTAACAATGTAAGTCAGATGTTTAAAAAAACAGCGTAGGTTCTCTCCACCTTTTGTATTCATATTTTAAATTATTTGCCAGAAAAACTAACATGTTGACTTTGTCCGGTTTAAGTGAAGAATGGGGTTATAATGTTTCCAGCAATACACTGTTAGACGGTGTGCTTGTAGCGAAAATGCACAGACAGGCTACTTTTTCACAACCATGCGATAGGGTTTCTTGCTTCTGTTCCGCCGCCAGCATTTCTCGCAAAGCAGGTTTCTCTACGCTGCGGGGCGGCGCGTTCTTAACTAGTTACCAAATATGTTGCTCCATTTCTCATCAATGTCTTCCATTTATCACTTTCTCTTTTTTGACAATGGACAACCGTGGTGGCAACTAACCACGGTGGTGACCCAGTTGTCACGGTGACCATCACAGCACTAGTCTTAAGTATATATATAAAAAAATATCGCAATATATATCGCAGGAAAAAAAATATTGCAATGTCAATTTTTTTTCCAATATCGTGCAGCCCTAGTGTGTAGTGTCTCCATAATTACTGATTGTGCTATATTGTGTATTAAATTAGATTGTGTGTCCTCGTATTTACTGTTGTTGTCATGTTGTGTATTGTGGGGGAGGGACAGAAGATGCAGGTTTCTATTACTAAAGCCAGATTGGACCTATTGCTTGTGTGTAGTGTCCCCATAATTACTGATTGTGTTATATTGTGTATTAAATTAGGTTGTGTGTCCTCGTATTTACTGTTGTTGTCATGTTGTGGGGGAGGGACAGAAGATGCAGGTTTCCATTACTAAAGCCAGATTGGACTTATAGGTTGTGTGTGTGTGGTGTCCTCATAATTACTGATTTTAGGGCTGTGCAAATAATCGATAATCCGATTTCCATTTTGACTTCTAACAATCATGAAAAAACATTAATCAAGATAAACGATTATTGCATCATATACCGCCCCTTTCCAGTTTTGCACATTTGTTGCTCTGCAAAGCTCAGTTCCCCGTAAAAATGACTAAAAGCATCTACTGTAATGTAACTTTTGCAGCACGGGATGAGCATCATTCATTTATGTACATTCGAATCATTCATGTTTTTAAACGTGCAAACGAGCGCATGCTGTTGTGTGTGCGTGCTTGGCCTCAGAGACGAGCAGAGCACACACATCTAAAGTCATCTTAAAGTGAGTGCTTTAATGGTCAAATACATGCACATTCGTGTCAGAGCGCGGTGTTTAGTGATTATTCATTTTAACCCTCATTTTTGTAATAAACTAGTTGAGAATAAAAAAACATGTGAAAGAGAAACCATATCAGAGCCGCACTATTCTTTTAAGTGACAGCACGCAATATTCCTGCTTAAGGAATTAATTTTTTATCAAACAAATGGAGAAAATCTCTCGCTGCTCTTGACTGAAGGACTTTTGTAGCTAAAGTTTTTTTTTTTCTTGCAGTGAAGATGCTTAAAGCTCAGTTTGTTTCATATTTTTATTTTATTGTATTTATTTCCCTTTCCTTATTTACAGGAAGGAAAATAACTGCATATATACCGTTAACGTCAGAATTATTAGCCCTCCTGATTTATTAGCGACCCTTTCCCCCCAATATCTATGAATGGAAAGAATTATTTTCAACCCATTTTTAAACAATAGTTTTGGTATCTCATTTCTAATAACTGATTTCTTTTAACTTTGCTTTGATGACAGCACATAATATTTTACTAGGTATTTTTTTAAGATACTAGTATTCAGCTTAAAGTGACATTTAAAGGCCTAATTAATGTAATTAGCCAAGTCATTGTATAACAGTAGTTTTTTCTGCAGACCATTAAAAATATATATTGCTTAACGAGCTAATAATATTGAGCTATTAAATTAGATTTCAAAATATTAAAACCTGCTTTTATTCTAGCCGAAATAAAACAAATAAGCCTTTACCAAAAGAAGCAGGAAATACTGTGGAAAAATTCCTCTGTTAAACAACATTTGGGAAATATTTGTATATAAAAAAATTCACAGAAGAGCGAATAATTTTGACTTCAACTGATAATTCGTGAGAACAATTATGACCAAAATAATCGTCATTATGATTTATCCCATAATCGAGCAGCCCTAACTGATTGTTCTATATTGTGTATTAAATTAGGTTGTGTGTCCTCGTATTTACTGTTGTTGTCATGTTGTGTATTGTGGGGGAGGGACAGAAGATGCAGGTTTCTGTTACTAAAGCCAGATTGGACCTATTGCTTGTGTGTAGTGTCCCCATAATTACTGATTGTGCTATATTGTGTATTAAATTAGGTTGTGTGTCCTCGTATTTACTGTTGTTGTCATGTTGTGTATTGTGGGGGAGGGACAGAAGATGCAGGTTTCCATTACTAAAGCCAAATTGGACCTATTGGTTGTGTGTAGTGTCCCCATAATTACTGATTGTACTATATTGTGTATTAAATTAGGTTGTGTGTCCTCGTATTCACTGTTGTTGTATTCACTTATACAATAGGTTGTAGGCATGGGCTGGTATATGATTCTGACAGTATGATTACTTTGGATAAAAAAAAAAAAAATCAAAGTATATATTTTTTTAAGAAACATTTAAATTATTTTGAAACGTTCAACATGTCAGGCTAAATAATAAAAATATATAATTCAGTGTTTTCTTTAGAATTTTTTTCAGATGTGGCGGCAGACTCTCTTGGGCCTTTTACACTGATCTACCAACTACTTAAACAAATAACGCACAGCAATACTACTGTTACAGAAAAGTTCACATTGTTATAATTCACTTAAAGGTGCAGTAGGTGATGTGCCAAAATGCTAACCGCTTAGCATATTATCTTTGGACGGCGGGGAGGGACTGTGATTCAAAGCCACAACCCCTGAAGTAACTAGCGCGCGCACCGCATCACAACAACAGACAGACAACCCACTAGTTCATGTCATTCGCCAGTTAGACTTAGTGTTTAGCCAGCGTCGTGCAGGAATTACATATTACTTAGCCATACTTACATGCTATTTCAGAGCGAATATTCAGAGTAGCGGTAAACAGTATAGGAAGGCTGGCATTGTTCAAAAATGACCCAATGTGAATATAAAAGCAACTTCAGCTCAATAAAGCAGTTAGGCGGAATAGAGCTATTTACTGATGTTTTGTTGTTAAACTAAATATAAATCTACATTATAGATGCTGTCAAAGGACCTTATGAAACTGAAAATAATCACATCAATCTTTCACTGGGAGATTTCAGTGGCTGAACAACACGTCTGTGCATATAAGTCATTCACAACAGAACACAATCTAACATTAGCTTAGCCTGACTAAAATAGTTTTAAAACAGAACATTACCTGTCTAACAGTAATACTTCAGCAATGGTGTTGTCTTTCTTCCAGCGTGCTCAAGTTACTCCAATATTGATATAGGTTTTTAAAAGTTTCAATTCATTTTTTGATTTCTCCTGGTCTGTCTCGTGACGGCCCGGCAGCTTATGCAGACGGGCACATCCTAATGGCTTGAACGGATGCGCAGAAGTCCCAATCTACATTTGCTGACAGACAGTCTGAGCTGCTTATCGAAGTTATGGGAGATGTCGGTCCGACTCTATTTAATTGGGTAAACATTTTTTAGTTTTATGCCTTGCCCAGAATATAAAAATTACATTTAAACACATTTAGATCATTTACTGTAATCATTACTATTGGACTGTGAAGAGACTTTCAACCAGCACAACAACAAATGTTTCTGAAGACAATCACCTGCACCTTTAACTTTTAATGCGTTTTGGTGCGTTTTATAACCCGCTATTAAAAAAACAATGACTGAATGTTTTGAATGAGTAGTAATGTAGCAGTGGTGGGGTAAATTTTGGTGTGGCGCCCCGCCATGAAAGAATGAATGTAGTGGAAACCATGTAATTGACTTCTGTTATCTCCATTAGTTTTTAAAAACACAGATTTCTTTACAACATGAAAATACATCTTTGGAGATCTTTCTTTTCTTTGAATAATAAGCCACTGCACTGTTCAGGTGCACAGCATGCTGAATGGTGGTGCACAAGTGATTTGTTTTTCAAATGTTTGAGGAATTGTGGGATGAATTTAAGCTGAATTGTAGTTTATGTTGTAGATGGTCTTTGACAACATCTAAAAAAAAAAAAAAAAAAAAAAAACGTACATATACCTTAGGAATGGTATAACATTTTTTTTTTTTTTTAACTGTAAACCTTGAAACTGACTATCATCCCATGCCTAATAGGTTGTGTGTTGTGTCCTGATATTTATTTACAGTGTTATATTGTGTATTTAACATGGGTTATGTGTTGTGTGTCTTTCTACTTACTTATGGTGGTATATTGTGTATTAATATAGGCTGTGTATTGTGTCCTTGTGTATTTACTGCTGCTGATGATTTTTTTTTCAACAGATTTGTAAACTTTATGTAATATCAGTAGCTGTGTCAAGCTTGGATAAATGTGCCAGCTGCAGTGGGCCCTACAATGCATTCAAGTGGATTAGGGTGAAATGTAAAAGTAAGTATTGTGCTTTGATAAATTAAAAAATAATAACAATAAAAAATTAATTGTAACCCTCTCTGTGAAAACCCAGCTAAAGTCATGTTTTGATTTACTGCTCTCTCTCTCTCTCTTTCTCTCTCTCTCTCTCTCTCTCTCTTTCTTTTTTCTAAGAACCTGTAAAAAGGAATATTGCCAATATCATAAATCAAGTTATTTCATTTTGTTTATTTACATTTTTATTAAGGCACAATGTAGTGCCAAGTATGGTCAATTAGTTTATCGTACTAATTAAATTGTTGCACCTAAGTGCTCTCACGATGCGGTATGCGGTCCAGTCAGTACTGAAATTTGAAAAACGTCCGCTAAACGTTCCCACTAAAATTTAAGCACTGTTGATCGTGTTCTTAAACGGCACTGATTTGCTGTTGTGTTCACATGCTCAACAGAAATGACTGTTATTGACTGTGAAGGTCATCAACTCCCCACCGTTTACTAAGTGTAAACACAAAAATTCGGACACTGGAGTGCTTTAAAGCAGTGAAGATCAGTCGATTCATCAGGGGATTGTTCATATGTCAGCTCAAAGACAGACCAGCTGAACTTCACAGCTTTAAAACGTTCCAGTCCTTGTATCTGTGATTACACCAATGTTATAATAGTTTTGGATATTTTATTAGTTTCAGTTTCTATTTCGTTTTTCCGTTAGTTTTAATTTGTTTGAGGTAGATTTCTTAATTTTTATTAGTTTCTATATTTTAAAAATGTCTTAGTTTTAGTTTAGTTTTTATTAGTTCCAGTATTTAAGTTTTTTCTAAATAAGGACATTTGTTAGGTGCAAGATTCAAAATCAACAGCATAAAAACCATCCTCAAATTCAAATACAACAGCCCACAAGACAGCAGTCTTAAGTACAATATGTGTGCAAGGCTTCTTCTGAGGTTAGACACAGTAGTGATGGGCAGGGCTGGATTAACCAATGAGTATTATGGGCACAGGCCCAGTACGCATTTAGATTTTGCCTACTCTTCATCACGAGCAAGAGAAGTAGGAATCATTAATATGTGTGTATTATGGAGGACTCAGATTCCTAGAACTGGATTGGAGAGGTGTTATATCTAAATCATGTGCATTATAAGTTTGTAGAAGTTATACACTAAAAATACCCTTAAATATAAATGTTTGTGCTGCTTCAGTGAACTTGAACAAATATATTAAAATCCATTAATTTCCCCTAGTTGTATTAGTATTTTTTTCAAAGTGTGCTTTAAATGCTTAAAAATAAGTTTAATCTTTGTAGACTAGAAATATATGTAGTGTATATCATTCATTTTAAAAATGTGGGCAATACATTATAAATTAATTTTATTTAACAAATATTATATTAATCTTATTTTTTAATTCAACTATGGGGTGCGGCTATAGGGGGCCTACAAGACATTGTGCCCAGGGGCTTCTGAATTATTAATCCGGGCATGGTGATGGGAGGTATAGATTTTTAACGTGGATGTTATGACTCAACATTATGTAGTTAGCAATAGTAATTCAGTCAGTTAAAACATCACCATGATATGAAAAATGTCTTACAGTAAAGTTTTGCAACCAACTGAATCATGATTCACTTATTTAAATTCCATTACGATTGTCTGTTAAGAAATAAACTTACGTTTTTCACCAGATCCTCTCATTTAAGCCATCGGTTTAGCTGCAGTTGTTTTAAATTCAGTTCAGTCATACAGCAGGCTGTACCTTTTGTGTTTGGTTCACTGAATCATGCATGCGCAGTTTTATCGGTTCACCGCTTCTCAATGTAACGTTACTGTTCTAAAAACTGAATGAGTATATATTGGATTATTCAGAGTCAGAGGGGGGTATTAGGCTTGTTATAAAGTAAGTAGTTTGTGGATAAGTGCTTACTTGAGACGCGATTCGTTTGAAATTATTCAGTTTGATTTGGTGAGCTTGTTCAATTGGTTCACTTAGAAGATCCGGTTAAAAAGATTAGTTTGCGATACTGAAATAAAATCCATTATTGAGCACAAATATGTTTAAGTAATAGTTTTAAGTCTCTGTAATTAATGCTGTCACCGTGCTGCTGTCATGTCCACTCGTTGTTTTTGTCGCGGGAGCAACAGTAAGGATGACTAGAGAAGAACCGGCTCAATCTGGCCAATGGCGGCAGGAGACTCAGGTGCGAAAAGGTTAAAAACAAACACCTGCGCGCAGATTATATTTACTACTAAAAGGCTTACAGTAAGATTATGTATTAAATACATTTACAAATATGAAAACGAAGGAGGTTTTTGCTATAACTTTAGTTAGTTTCAGTTAGTTATGTATGTACACAATACAGTTTCAGTTAGGTCTAGTTTTAAAAAAAAACTCTCATTTTTATTTTAGTTAACAACAATTATTTTACATTTTAGTTTTCGTTTTTTTGTTCGTTTTCATTAACTATAATAACCTTGGCTTACACTCAGTAAACATTGGTGAGTTTGGTAAACTGATGACCTTTTAAGGCCAATCACAGTCATTTCTGTTGAGCACGTGAACACAATGGCAAATCAGCGCTGTTTAAGAATGAGCTCAGCCCAGATATTATCGGGAAATAGATGTTTTTAAATTCCAGTACTGATCAGTTCCAAATTTGAGTATTGTGAAAATACAATTACTTCTAGTAATAATCAAAAAAAGTTAAATAAAGAATGATTGAGAAAAGGGTGTGGTTGGGAAATGGAGATGAGCTCTGATCAACATGGTGCTGATCCCATGAATCTGTTTTCTTATTTGCAGTCATTCTCAAATCTTCTGAAAATTACGCAAGAAGAAAAACAAAGACCATGGTCTCCTGATGAAATTGCTGCAGTATTGAGACATTTCCAAAGCCATGTTTCCAAGGGTAAACTTGCCACAAAAATAGAATGCCAACAATGCAAATCCGCAGAGCATCCTATGTTGGCAAATCGCTCCATTCAAAACATCAGGGACTTTGTCAGAAACAGGTTTGATGCTGAAATGGAATCAGGTAGAAGTAGTCTTTTTGATAACACTTGACTTAAAGAATGTGTTTATAAAACTGTAATAAAAACTATATAATTGTTACAAATGTCATGACTAATGAATGAGATTTTATGCATGCTTATGACAGTTTTGATGTAATGTGCTTCGTTATGTCAATTTTAAATGACAACTTAACAAACCAATACATCACACGTTTTTTTATTTTTGTCATGACAACTTGACATTACCAAGACAAGAGAAAAGCATTTAATAAATCGGTCAAATATGATTGTCATGAGGGCATTATAATTGTGTAATTTTATAAAATGAACATTAATATTGTTTAAATTTTAAAACAGCTTCATTCATATTTTTCATGATCACGAATACAGTGGTAAAAGCTGAATGTGTTGTTAGAATGTTGTGATTGACTTCTAATAACATTTAAAAAAAAACATTTTTAAAAATGTAATTTAAATAAATAAATTAAAAATTAAAAAGTGATTAGAAAAATATTCATGAAATAATTATAATGGTCTCATGGCAACCATAAACTACTTGTTTTGATTATGTCAGGTTGTCATGACAAAGACTGGGTGCCTGTTTCAGTAAGGAGGTTTAAACGACTCTGAGTTTAAACTTAAACTCTTAGTTGATTTACCGAGAGATTAAAAACTCAAGAGTTTTCGGTTTCAAAATAGCTGATCTGAGGTATGTCAATAAACTTTGAGTAGACCAACTCAGAGTTAAGCACACTCAGAGACTATAAAAAGGCATTGTCAATGGAGCACAGATATTACAAGTGACTATGGCAACATCTTAAAAAAGAGATGCAAAGTTATAGCAAATATGATCATATATTTAAAAAAGCAACACCACTGCATCAGTGAAACAGAGGCAGCATGGGAAAACAGCTCAAGTTAATGCATAATTTTACATTTAAAGTATTTAAATATTTAAGTATAATAAAATAAGTAACGTTATGTGTGTTTCCCAGAGATGGGTTGTGGCTGGAAGAGCATCCGCTGCGTAAAAACATGCTGAATAAGTTGGCGGTTCATTCCCCTCTGGCGAATCCCTGATAAATAAAGGGACTAAGCTGAAAAGAAAATGAATGAATGAATAAATGTTATGTGCAACGTTTAAAAAAAAATAATAATTTACACGCATTCCCACTATTATACTCGTTGATCAGTTTTAATAAATTTAAGTGCACTTGTGTGTCTGCCTCTATTATTGATCAATTGGTAGAGGTTGATATGAAATTTAGAATGTAAGCAAAACTAAACAGTTTTTAGAAAGAATAATAATCTCATTAATTGAGTAACAGTAGGCTACATGTCCCTGTTGAAGGTCAGTGAATTTAAGATAATTATTTATTAAAAAGGACTAGCCATTCTCGTACGTGACTTTGTTCTTTGTGTGACTGAAATGTAGGCAATAGCTATTTTTCCATTCAATAATATTAATCAAATTTATGTGCAAAACTAAAATATTGCATAAAAGATGCGAATAAAGCAGCGTTTCCATCCAACGAGTCAAAGAGAACTAAATCGCCACTTCCTGATTAAACAGGCGCCAAATACCAACTGTAAAAATAGAATTTACTGCGGTATAAGAAGCTGCGTCAAGCTTTTCTTTATTTAATAAATGTACTTATTTATTAGAATTAGTAGAACAGACGCTCTTGATACACTCCAGACGCTCTGGAGATCATTAATAATATAATAACATTAATATTGAAACAGTTAAGAAATTTTAGAATGACCAAAACAACATTTGAGATGTTACTGTGTGCTTAGCCTGCTGGTTTGTCCATTTACACAGTTTGATCAGCATATGATCTCTTATAACAAATCTTTTTTTAATGTACATACTGTAATTTGTCAGTAAAAGTGTTTCCATCGTAGTTTATGCACATCTTTTTTATCGAATAAAAGTTTATCCTACTCAGTTATGTGCAAGTTTTTTATGCATATTTTCAAAAGTTATGTGGATCTGACATTTCCATCAATCATTTTTATGCGCATCTCCAAAATGAGCATTAAAATTGGTGGGTGGAAACGTAAGGCTAAGGTGAGAAAGACCTGTGTTTTCTGTGAACAAGTGAACAAGATGATTCTCACACCCTTTCAAAGCAAAAACACGAGGCTAAAGGATCCAGTTCTCAAAAGTCTTGTGCACAAATGTTCTGTGTGTGTTTCATGGCCTTTTTTCAGTGACTTCTAAATTTTAGTTTTTCACTAACCACGCATAATCATTTCTTTCTCAAAAAACACAAACACATACAAACATGCTGCATAGGTATTATTGTAGCTCAACTTGTGCTGTTTACAGTGTTATCACACTTTAACCAATCATATGTTTTTTAAGATACTGAAAACAACACAAATGTCAGTGCATGTCAATACTTCTTCATAGCCCCAAAACACCCTCAGACGCCAGAGGGATAATACACTTAGTAAAGCTAATGTTTTATTTGTATTAATTCGATTTTCTAAACGAGCACAAACTAAACTTTGCATTTTGTTCATATGCTGTGTTCTGCATTTGTTCTATTAGTAGATTGTTTTAGTTGTCATACCAAAGAAACTACAGTTGCTTGAATACACTCTACAGATTTACATTAGTGTGTATGTATAATGTAAAAACAAACTGATCAGGATGCCACATAAGTAACTATAAGGGCATATTTGTAAATTACTTTGTATCTAGATGGAAAAAGTTCAAAACATTGACTTTTTTGTTTAACCATGTCCTCATAAATCAGTTATGTCCTCTTAATACACAAGGTGTTTAGTTTTGTGTGTGTGTGTGTGTGTTTAACTGTTCGTCCTCCTAGATTACTTATGTCCTTTTAATACACAAGGCATTTACTTTTGTGTGTGTGTGTAACCATTCGTCCTCCTAGATCACTTATGTCCTTTTAATACACAAGGCGTTTACTTTTGTGTGTGTGTGTGTAACCATTCGTCCTCCTAGATCACTTATGTCCTTTTAATACACAAGGCATTTACTTTTGTGTGTGTGTAACCATTCGTCCTCCTAGATCACTTATGTCCTTATAATACACAAGGCGTTTAGTTTTGTGTGTGTGTAACCATTCGTCCTCCTAGATCACTTATGTCCTTATAATACACAAGGCGTTTAGTTTTGTGTGTGTGTAACCATTCGTCCTCCTAGATCACTTATGTCCTTTTAATACACAAGGCGTTTACTTTTGTGTGTGTGTAACTATTCGTCCTCCTAGATCACTTATGTCCTTTTAATACACAAGGCGTTTACTTTTGTGTGTGTGTTTAGCTGTGTCCCATTAAATCACAATTGGTCCTTTAATACACATTTGTGAAGTGTGTGTGTGTGTATAGCTACTGTCCTTATAATAACGGTTTGTGTTATGGGCGGGGTTTCAAGGTAATTATCATATGACCTCATAATTAAGTATGTAGTCAGATTGTTGTATTTTAAGTTGTGTTGTGTGTAATCAAACTTTAAAGTGAAATCTGTGTTGTACAGCTCAAAATAAATTTTTTGATATGCACCACAACTCTCTAGAGTAAGTGGAAGAGTGTGCTCCCCTAATACACCAAAAAACTGGTTTGAGCTGAAGTGTCCTTGTAACACACATAAACCCGTATGTGTGTGTGTGTGTGTGTGTGTGTGTCATGATGTGACCCTCTTACATTTTCTGGTAAATAAAGCAGGCTCTCGGGCTGCAGAGGCGTGTGTGTAATCTCTTCTAGCTGTGTCCCGCAGTAATGTTTGAACACAGACCCGGACAGAGGAAGCTGTGCTAGAAGACATTAGAATGGCTGAGAACAAACACGGAGACACGGCTGACGCCACCACACACAGGTCAGAGGTCAGGGCCGAGTAAACAACACGCTTGATGAGTATTTCATAACTCTTTAATTTTTCATCCAGCAACAAATTGGAATTCCATACGTTACATGTGTGGCTTCCTCTAGATATGATTTTCAACATGAATTATGAGTCTCTTAAGCAATAACTGAAGTGTAATGCTAACACTTGACAATAAGCTTGTATTAGTTTCTGTTATTTACTAACATAAACAAATAATGGACAATACATGTATTACAGTGTTTTTTCATGTTAGTTAATGAAAGTACAGTCACTCATAGTTAGCTCATGTTAACTCATGAGGCATTAGTATGACGATTAACATTAACAATTATTTGTTCATTCTTAGTTCACACAAGTAAATATTAACTAATAATAACCGATTAAACGTGTTGTAAATTGTGACCAGTTTAATCATGATCACTCATTTGGGTAATGTCAAGTCTTTTCAAAATTGTGTGTGAAAGCATTTAATATCTAATTAATAAATTACTGTCTATCCTTTCTGAATATTGATTGATTTTTGCTTCTGATTTTTAGTTTATGAACTGATTCAACAGAATTTCATGGCAGTTCGTAAGTTTTTGATTTAGTGGCTAATTTGTATGAATACATAAAATCTCATTCATACAATTTAGGAAGATTAGCTTATCCCCCAATCAGGCCCATGCAGAGGGGGGATTTGGGTGCTTGAGCATTGACTTTGGGTGCTTGCCTGGTTTTTCCTCTTGTGGTATAGTATGGTATGCTATTGTAGGGTATGGTATGGTATGGCATGGTTTGATATGGTAAGGTTTGGTATGGTATGGCTTGGTTTGGTTTAGTTTGGTTTGGTATGGTTTGATATGGCATGGTACGGTATGATATGGTTTGGTATTGTATGGTTTGGTATGGTATGCCATAGCTTGGTATGGTATGTTATGCCATGGTATGGTATGGTATGGTTTGGTATGGTTTGATGTGGCATGGTATGGTAGGGTATGGCATGGCATGGCATGGTCTGATAGGGTAGGGTTTGATATGGCATGGTATGGTGTGATGTTGTATGGTATAGTGTTGTATGGTATGGTTTGGGATTGTATGGTTTGGTTTGATAGGGTATGGTTTGGTAGGGTATGGTAGGCTGTGTAATGGTTTGGTAGGGTATGGTGGGTATAGTTTGGTAGGGGA